GAACCCGGCCCCACTGACCGGCTCCAGGAGGCAGCAGCACTACCAGCTCCCATGGGCAAGTTCTTCTCAGTTTTTAAATTATTTTTATCCAAAGCTACATTGAAATTATATTTGAAAAGACATGAACTCTGAAATTAGAAAATCTCCCTATGAATCTAAGTTCAACCTGGTTATCAGCATCTAAACATTTCTTTAACACAGTTTAATGGTCTGCTATATATGCATATATTATACAGAAAACTACCTGCTGCCACTGGATGATATACAATCGGAACCACTGTATTTTCCTTTCTTTTGGAAAGCAAAACTAGCAATCTTTAATAAACCAAGCAACTTAGCAGGAGCTTCATGGTAGGTAAGATATAAAAATGAGAACTCTTGGATCAGATTAATCAGATTTGTAGTTTTTTCTTTCACTTCCTTCCTTGCAGGATAAAATGCAAAGTCTATCTTCTTTTTAGCCCATGACAGATTTAGAGTTATAAAGCTGGGCAAAGGGATATCGAGAGAATTATCTTTAGTTGTTTGTTTCTTTTCTTTTTCCTGAATAACGACTAGTATGATTTGGGCTGGAACTGAATTTGTGTGTGTGTGTGTTAATGTGGCATTATTAAAAAGAGATTAAGCTTGAAACAGTTTCTCTTGAAGTTACTGTAGAAATGTAAGTAATTCATGCAGAATTATAGGAAAAGAAATAAGGATGCAAATACCCTTTCTATCATCTGAAGAAAAACATCACAGCCTTGGTATATGCCCTGCATAGGGAATATGTGTAAACCCACAAGTACTGAGACACAGATTAAGTGGTCAGAGCGAGATAATAAAAGGCAGGACTCCTAGATCCTTCTCTGCCTTGGATTTGCCAAGTGACACACATGCATTTAGTGATAGTGTGAGGCTTCACTAATGTTTAAAATAAGCAAATAGATGTCAAATTTGACTTCTCATTTTTCCAATGCACAAAAATAAATACTTATAAAATACTCAAAATACTTTTAAGAAATCATTCTGAAATAAAAATGAAGTGCTCCAATGCAAATTTTTTTTTCTATTTTTAGAACTGAACATTTTAATGCCACCTTCCCCTAAAAAGGCTTTAATTAAAACACTTTCTGAGGGAAGAATATGCTGCCAGAAAACCACAGAGCCGTCCAGTTTCAGATCTGCTGCTGCAAAGTTTTGCAGAAGCACCAGCCTCTGCGGCTGGCTCAGGCTGGCGCGTGCGATCCAGCGCTGCAGATACTCTTCTCTGTGGCCAGAAGATGGCAGATTTTCTGCTGCTCGGTTTTTACGATCTCCGTATTAGGGCTTGCTGATCGCCAGCAAAGGCTTATTAGGTTTAACATTCAGCACGTCCTCTGTGAGTAAGGGCTGTGCAATCCCTGTATTAATGCTGGAGCTGTCTCTCAAGAGCACAGAAAGTTTGCCTGTTTCTTGTTATGTGCAAGCTGTGTAGATACTGCTTGAAGTATAATAAAACCTAAAAAACAACTGACAGCCCTGCAGGAGAAAAAAAATGCATTCTGACTGGTGCAGATAATCAGAGTTGGGAATTTAGGGTGCAAAAATATGTCTGTACTAATGCTCTGTTCAAAAGATTGCTGAGAGCCACCTGATGGCCATTTTACTGCTGTCAGGATTTAATGCGCTGTCTTTTCTGTTATTTATCCCAGCAGTGGTAGAGAGACAAAGTAAGCCTTTTGACTGTTGTATGAAAAAAATCTTCAGTTTTACTACAGCTAATACACGGCATTTTGCTGTAATTCAGACACGACTCTTTTAATTACGCTCAATAATTCCCATCATCCTTTCATGCTAAGTGCACTGGAACCCATGCTAGAGAGATGTACAGGCACTTGGGAACAGAAGGAGGGAGAATTAAGGATGACATTGGCATTTTGTATTACGCAGGAACCTATTTCTTTGTTTTCTTAACTCTTTCAGACAGAAAGATAATTGTTCCCGATTTAGGAATCACAGCTCTGAGGATAAAATGGGCCTATATGGCTAGCAAATTAGAAATGACAACACTGCACAGCTACTGTTGCATGGACAGATCTGACCCAAATCTGGTGGTCAGATTCCTCAAACATTCTTACAAAATGCTGGAGATCTATATTTCCATTTCAGCTCTGAGCTACTCACATCCCAACTAATTTCACTATGCTTACAAGACTATATTGGACTATTTCAGCTTCCCCAGTTGTAATGAAGCTTGAAGTGAAGTTGGTTTGGTAAAATGTAACAAACAATGCAATACTTTTAGTGCATTCTAAAAGAAGGGGAAGGAGGAAACAATGCTGCTTTAAGGAGGAAACAGTGAAGATTTCTTAATCAGGCAAGGCATGTTGCTATAAAAAATACTAATATTGCTGCTGTTACTGAACTGCTTTCAATCTGTAGCTCCATGAAAACCCAAACATAAGCTTCAAAAAAGTAGCTTGTATTAATACAGAGTCATAGAGGTCATGGAAATACGACAATGGTTCTTTCCCTGCTCCACAAATACCGATACTGCTAATCCACGAGTTGAAGACCAGGCATTAAACTGCTGGCCTCATAGAGCAGCAAACTGCTTACCTTGCTGTTCCAGTTCAAAGCAGCTCCCAGGGAATCACAACTCCCCACAGAGTCCAGAGCCACGCGGAAGCAGGGTATTTACCTTAAAACTGAAGAGCTTTAACACCAAATATTTTTAATCAGAAGTCACTATGAAAATACAGTGAAATGATTCACTGATCTACTTCCGACAGAAGCCTGATGAACTGCTTGGCTTGAAACAGAAAAAGTTGTGTGTGAGCTAAAAAAACAATGGAATGATCAAACAAAACTGATTAAGGCAGTGAACAAACTAGCATGTTCCTTTTAACCAAAGCTTAGATTATTATTTATTAAAAAAATAAAAAGTAGATTAGGCTATTGATTTCAAGAAGAAATATAATGGTGAGCAGTAGAACAGTGGGAACCATCCCACAGTGAAGCAATGAGTATGACCAACATGCCGAAATATGAGACCTCAGTAACTGTAAAGGTCAACTGGCCACATGTAAAAAAAAATTAAAGACAAAGGAACATTTTTCTATTTCTTATTCTAACCTTTAGGCAGTTCAACACACATTAATATCTTGCCATTCAATCTAATATAAAAAGATTAATTGGATAAAATATCACAGAGAAGTAAAGCTATTATAGCTGAACTCACTTCATTTACACATGCCAGCTGTTCCTCTTCCTGCATATTAACTAAAAAAGTAACAATGCTGACAAAAAAGAAAAGAAAAAGAAAAGGATATTAAGAGTTAAAATGGGATATGCCAGCAGTTCCCAGGAATCTACCAGGGACTGACAACATCTTTTGTTGCAGAAGGTGTCTAGAAGTCAGATCAGTCACTTAAAAAATCTTGTGACTGCTAAACCAAAAAAAAATCTTTT